ATACAGACTAACACGGCTGCTACTCTGCAACCTGACAGGAAGTTTCTCCTAATGTCCAATTGAAACCGCCCTTGCTGCAATGCAAGCCCATTGCTTCTTGTCCTGTCCTCAGCGGGATGCAGGAGCTTGGTGAGGATACAGAGTGCGCTGGCTACAGGGCTCTGCACAGCACCCCTGGCGAAAGGAAATAAGGATGTCGTGGCTAAACCATGTAGAAGGTAGTTGTAGAAGGATTTGTGCAAAATCCACAGGGGACTGAAATGAGGGGGTGCAAGAGTTCAGAGGTGGACAGTTTTGCAAAGCAGTTGCACGGAAGTGTGTGTGTGTAACAAGAGGGGCCAGAAGTGAACCTGTCCAGAGCAAGGGAGAGATGATGCAAAGGCACTGTAAGGTTGCATGAAGGAGTCTGTGCAAGGCCCGGGGTACAGAAATATCAACACACACAGTGGTTAAATCACGAGCACGGTTATTAATACTCGGTGGGCGCTTGCACTTTACCCTGCAGATCATTCAGGGCTTGGTTAGAAGTTTAACCCAGTGGAGGCTTCTGTGTACACGTCTGGCTCTGTTGATCTGTTTCCTTATTTCCTTATAAACTACGATACCCACATGAGGAAATAAGGAAACAGATCAACAGAGTCAGACGTGTACCCAGAAGCCTCCTACTGCAAGACAAGCCCAAGAAAGAAACCAACAAAACTCCACTGGCCATCACATACAGTCCCCAGCTAAAACCTCTCCAATGCATCATCAGTGATCTACAACCCATCCTGGACAACGATCCCTCACTTTCGCAGGCCTTGGGTGGCAGGCCAGTCCTCGCCCACAGACAACCCGCCAATCTGAAGCATATTCTCACCAGTAACTACACACCGCACCATAGTAACTCTAACTCAGGAACCAATCCATGCAACAAACCTCAATGCCAACTCTGCCCACATATCTACATCAGCGACACCATCACAGGACCTAACCAGATCAGCCACAGCATCACCGGTTCATTCACCTGCACATCCACCAATGTTATATATGCCATCATGTGCCAGCAATGCCCCTCTGCTATGTACATCGGCCAAACTGGACAGTCCCTACGTAAAAGGATAAATGGACACAAATCAGATATTAGGAATGGCAATATACAAAAACCTGTAGGAGAACACTTCAATCTCCCTGGACACACAATAGCAGATTTAAAGGTAGCCATCCTGCAGCAAAAAAACTTCAGGACCAGACTTCAAAGAGAAACTGCTGAGCTTCAGTTAATCTGCAAATTTGACACCATCAGCTCAGGATTAAACAAAGACTGTGAATGGCTAGCCAACTACAAAAGCAGTTTCTCCTCCCTTGGTGTTCACACCTCAACTGCTAGAAGAGGGCCTCATCCTCCCTGATTGAACTAACCTCGTTATCTCTAGCCTGACTCACTCTTGCTTGCATATTTATATCTGCCTCTGGAAATTTCCACTACATGCATCTGACAAAGTGGGTATTCACCTACGAAAGCTCATGCTCCAATACGTCTGTTAGTCTATAAGGTGCCACAGGACTCTTTGCTGCTTTTACAGATCCAGACTAACATGGCTACCCCTCTGATTCCTGTAAACTGAGCTTCCCGGCCTTAACCACCAAATAATTTCTGAGTCAAAGGGATATTTCTCCCTCTGCGGAGATCACTAGAGTGGCACGGAGACAAATTGCTGCTCAGAAGGGCAGTGCTGAATAGCAGTACAGTAATTCTTAGCTCCTTTGTCTCATCTGAGGATCTTACACTGTGTCATGGACATTAGCCACATTTCCCCTCCGGCTGTGAGGCAGGGATGGTTAAGACAGGTAACATATAGGGGTACTCAAAGGAATGAGGCGAGACCACATTGTCTAAACATCCAACCAACTTTTATGCAGTCAGAGCCCCGACTATGGTACCCCTAGAACTGGTCAGGCAGCCCCACCCCCCACAAGCACTTGTTTGAACCCCATTCCTCCAGCCTCTCCCTCAAACCAAAACCACCCACACCCAACTAATGGACAGGGGAGAAGCCTATTACAATATTATCCCCTCCTCCTACACTCAGGGCAGATCTCTGTGGTTTACCCAGGTCACACAGCAAGGGTCCACGTGGATCACAGGCCAGGCTGGAACCCTGGCGTCCTGCTGCCAAGCCTGGGCTCTCACCACTAGGCCGCAGTGAGTAACACAATAAATAGCCATTATTAACAATCGTTTACATTCCTCTAGCGCCTTTCATCCAAGGATCTCACAGTGCTTTGTGAGCAATCATTAACCACGGTGAAGGTTAACGAACATTAATTAAGTAGAGATGAACCGGAACCAAAACCTCAGCTCTAACCACCTGCAAACGCTGAGGAAACTCCGTTCCAGATCAGACCTTCCTCACCGCCCCCTATCGCTATATAGTAACTCCACCTAACGTTGTAGTTATGTTCCTGAAAAATGCTACCTTAAGCGAAATGACATTAAGCCAGAGGTGGGCAAACTATGGCACGGGGGCCACATCCACCCTCCGGACGTTTTAATCTGGCCCTCAAGCTCCCACTGGGAAGTGGGGTCTGAGGCTTGTCCTGCTCCATCGCTCCAGCCGGGGAGCGGGGTCGGGCTCTTGCCCCACTCCGCATGGCTCCCGGAAGCAACAGCACCTCCCCCCTCTGGCTCCTACACGTAGGGGCAGCCAGGGGGCTCTGCACGCTGCCCCCACTGCAAGTGCTGGCCCTGCAGTTCCCATTGGCTGACCCCCTGACTCCCTCCCATGCCCCTGCCCCAGCCCTGATCCCCCTCCCGCCGTCCGAACCCCTCGGTCCCAGCCCGGAGCACCTTCCTGCACCCCCAACCCCTCATCCCCAGCCCCACCCCAGCCAGAGCCCTCATGCCCTCCCACCCCCCAACCCCCAATTTCATAAGCATTCATGGCCCGCCATACAATTTCCATACCCAGATGTGGCCCTTGGGCCAAAAAGTTTGCCCACCCTTGTGTTAAGCGAATCCAATTTCCCCATAAGAATTAATGTAAATGGGGGGGTTAGGTTCCAGGGAAATTTTTTTTGCCAGACAAAAAAGACACACACACACAGTACAAGTTTTAAACAATTTAATACTGTTCACGGCAATGATGATTGTGAAGCTTGGTTCAGGGGGTGAAGTCAGAGAGTGGAAGAGGGAGGGATATTTCCCAGGGAATGCCTTACTGCTAAATGATGAACTAGAACTCGGCTGAGCCCTCAAGGGTTAACACATTGTTGTTAATGTAGCCTCACCCTTCTGCACTCTATAGAACACAAGGGTCTCTTCCCTACCTTTAAGACTCCTCTTAATGCAGCCTTTCCCTACTTGTCTGCTCCTGTATCTTACTAAATCGCCCCCAGCATCCCCAGGCCTCCCACAATGGCAGCCTCCATCACCCATTCATCTGCCTCTCCCACAAGCACCTTGGCTCTTTCTTCCCCGGCTCACTTTGGTCTGGAGCGATGAACCAGACTAATCGAAAAGGCCACAGCACTCTCCTTCAAATCCCTCCGCAAGACCCAGTTCTACCATGCCACAGAATAATAATCATGCTGCTTTTCTCTCTTGTAATGCCTCTCATCCAAGCACTGCAGTGCTTAAACATATTAATGAATGAACCTTCACAACCCGTTATCCCCACTGACAGGAAAGTTGCTCTGGGGTGAATGTGACTTCACTGTCTTCTTCTTTCATACTCATCACAAATCAATACCTAGATTGTCCAGCCCTCTGACTGCTGCTTTATCAAGGGTACCAAAATGGTGCAGTCCACCCTCCAATCTTCACTACTGAAAGGCTTTAGCTTTATTTCCAATCATACTTCTTAACTGGGATTTTATCTTACCCATAGAGAAAGTTCAAAGCAAATCTGATTAACAAGAGACAATAAAGGTACCGATTTAACACAGGATGAGATATTAAGAGCTAATACTTACAGCAATACGACATTGCCCTGTTATAAAACTAAAGCGATGTATAAAATCCATTTTGACTATACACTTTATTTGTGTTCACCTGGTCCAATATGGAAGAGCAACTAGTCCAGTAAAGATTCCTGGATACCAGGTTAAGTATTTGTGGTGTGTGAGTAGGAACTCTCAAACATTTTAATGAATAAATGGAAAATTAAGTGTATTTACTGAATGAAACCAAGAGCCCAGAGGCTGCTGACATTACGCCTAGCAATGTGTCCGTGAGGAAGGCTTCAGCATAACAGGAGACAGTCAGAGAGACTAAGCCTTGGCTACACTTGCGAGTTACAGTGCTGTAAAGCCTCCCCCAATGCTGTAACTCACTCCCTGTCCACACTGGCAGGGCACTTACAGTGCTGTATCTCTCTGGGTACACCGCTGCAGGTACTCCACCTCCCCGAGAAGCATAAGAGATACAGCGGAGTGGCTACGACTCACGGGTGTGAGTATAAACGCTTGCAGCGCTGTACTAGTCACCTTGTCAAGTGGCCAATCCTCTCCATTGTTGTGACTGGCTGCAGGAATGCGGAAGTGCCGGTTTCAAAGCTCGTACCACAGAGAAAAAGCAAACAGTTTGCTGTTTGCTTTGAGTGAGTAAATGAATGAGCAGGGGGCCGGGAGTTCGGAACTTGCAAAATAGAGAGCTGACACACTCCAAAAAGCACTCTCTCCCCCCCACACTCCCTGTCACACTCCACTCCACCCCACCTCCCCCCGTTTTGAAAAGCACGTTGCAGCCACATGAATGCTGGGATAGCTGCCCATAATGCACCGCTCCCAGCACAGCTGCAAATGTTGCAAGTGTGACCATGCCACTGCGCTGGCAGCTGTCAGTGTGGACAGACTGCAGCGCTTTTCCCTACTCAGCTGTACGAAGACAGGTTTACCTCACAGCGCTGTACAGCTGCAAGTGTAGCCAAGGCCTAAAGTTACAGTGATGATGATCATTAGAATCCAGTCAAGAGGGATTTTCAGAAGCCTCCAATCACTAAACTCTGATCGATTTTTTGGTCCTTGATCATTCAGCTTTTTCTAGAGTAGTCCTGAGCCTTCAGAAGAATCCAGGCTGGTGGCCATTTCCCTAGGTCTGTAGGAGAGACTCCTCTCCATGTTCCTCCTCTCTCACTTGCAGGGCTGACAAATGGTTTTCTCTCTTCCCCAACTTTGAAAAAGTGCATCGGCTCTTGCCTGTGTTTGTTCGGGTGCTGTGAAGGGTGGATGTGCCAGAGTTTTTAGTAGTTTCCTGAACAGGGAGGGCTGCATCAGTCCTTTTTTTATTAGTCTGTATCAGATTTTCCGCAACCTCTTCGTTTAGCTCACCCTTTAAAATATGACAAAGTAAAACAAAGAGATGATGAACATTCAGGTACTATCAATCAAATGGCCAGTACATTTTCCTAGCACCTGCTAGAGTTCTCTTAGAATTAGTTTTCTTATTCATTATGAAGTATTATAATACTTATTAACGTCGTTCCCCACTTAGAACAAAAGTGTAAGTCAGGGGTTGGCAACCTTTCAGAAGTGCTGTGCCATTTATTCACTCTGATTTAAGGTTTCGTGTGCCAGTAATACATTTTAACGTTTTTAGAAGGTCTCTTTCTATAAGTCTATAATATATAACTAAACTATTGTTGTATGTAAAGTAAACAAGGTTTTAAAATGTTTAAGAAGCTTCACTTAAAATTAAATTAAAATGCAGATCCTATCAGTTTAGTGCAGTGGTTCTGGGGGTGCGAGATGCCCTTTCTGGAGGTGCGAGACATGCGAGATTTTTTTAGAAGGTAAATCATCGAAAACACAAATTAAGCACAGGCACATAAGTACAACTACTTTGTTTCATCAAACCTATGCATTTATTAACATTATACATTTAACGATTACTGTAATATACAAAGTTTTTAAGTTTTCAAGTTTTTAAGCTAATTGTAGTATAATTTTTTATTAGGGGTGCGAGAACATATTTTGAGAACTCCAGACCATCAGCGGGCTGAGCAGGGCCAGATGTAGTGTATTAAATTGCTCCCCATAGGAATGTGCTACTTACGGTGTACTACTTATGACTGCCAGTCCTGGTGCTCCGCAAATAGCACATTCCTACGGGGAAAAATTTAATGCACTACACCAGCGGACAGTACCCAAACTGGTGGTGGGCTGATCTCAGCCTGCCGCTGGTCTGGGGTTCCGTCCGCCGGCTCCTGCCAGCCAGGTTCCAGGCGCTGGCCCCGCTCAGCCCACTGCCGGCCTGGGGTTCCGTTCACCCAGGCTGGCAGCGGGCTGAGCGGGGGCGGCGGCCAGGACCCAGGAAGCACTTGGGGAACAATGCATCTTGGAATGCTCCAATCCACATAAGAAGTCTTCCTGGAGACATACAAGATACCATGTGGACAATGGCTTCAGCCTGTAAAGACTGAGTCATGCAGGGACATGTGACTTGCCCAGGTGACTCCAGAACTCCATCTTGGAGCTGGACTTTGCATAGGAGTGGGGGGGAGGGGGATCTCCACCCACAAGAGAAAGTCTATTTAAACTCGTGGGAGACCCCTCCATTTTGTCTTCAGCTGGCTAAAGAAGGAGCCTCTCCACCCCCCCCAGAATACTTAAAGGAAACTGAAACAAAGGACAGTAACTACAGGGGGTGTGAGTGATTGCTGGATCCAGGCTAAAAGGAGATTAGCCTGTAAAAGGGAGCATTCTGGAACTGGTGAGGATCTTATCTGTATTTAGTTTGATTAGACATAGATTTGGGCATTTTATTTTATTTTGCTTGGTGACTTACTTTGTTCTGTCTGTTACTACTTGGAACCACTTAAATACTACTTTCTGTATTTAATAAAATCACTTTTTACTTATTAATTAACTGAGAGTATGCAGGGTATACTAAGTATACTAAGCATAAAGCTTAGTTAATAGTATACTAAGTATTAACTAAGCTTTATGCAGGGTAAAATGGCTTTATTTGGGTTTAGACCCCATTGGGAGTTGGGCATCTGAGGGCTAAAGACAAGCACACTTCTGTGAGCTGTTTTTAGGTAAGCTTGCAGCTTTGGGGCAAGTGATTCAGACCCTGGGTCTGTGTTGGAGCAGACGGGAGTGTCTGGCTCAGCAAGACAGGGTGCTGGAGTCCTGAGCTGGCAGGGAAAACAGGAGCAGGGGTAGTCTTGGTACATCGGGTGGCAGCTCCCAAGGGGGTTTCTGTGATCCAACCCATCACAGTACCCCCTAAGGTATTTTTCCCATTTTACAGATGCAGACAGTAAGGCACATTGACCCAGACCCTCCAAGATATTTAGGTTCCTAACTTCCATTGAAATCAGGGGCCTGAATACCTTTAAAAATCAATGGACATTAAATACCTTTGAGGATCTGGACCAGGGGTAGGCAACCTATGGCACGCGAGCTGATTTTCAGTGACACTCACACTGCCTGGGTCCTGGCCACCAGTCCGGGGGGCTCTGCATTTTAATTTAATTTTAAATGAAGCTTCTTAAACATTTTAAAAACCTTATTTACTTTACATACAACAATAGTTTAGTTATATATTATAGACTTATAGAAAGAGACCTTCTAAAAATGTTAAAATGTATTACTGGCACGCAAAACCTTAAATTAGAGTGAATAAATGAAGATTCGGCACACCACTTCTGAAAGGTTGCTGCCCCCTGATCTAGACCATATTGTTTAAGAGACTTGTTCCCTAGTCCCATAGGGACTCAGTGACAGAGTTGGGAATAGAACCCAGGTCTCCTGATTTCAGAGCCCCTGGTGCTAATCTCACTTGACCAGCGGGGACTTCAGAGTTTACGCAAACACACACTTGTTCTCAGAGACTCCTGTGGCAAGCAGCCATAGGCATGGCAGAGACCCTCATACCATCCAGCAACCCCTGCGCCAGGTGCTTGTGCATAGTAAATAAAAGACCAGACAACTCACCCCTGTCTCCTGTGCAGCTGCAAAGAAAAAGAAGCAATCTCATCAGAAAACAGTCTGGTGCATTTTGTATTAATGTGTTTCTGTATTAATGTCCCCGGGCTAAGTCCTGCCCTTAGACGCATGCACAGCTCTCTGCAATTCAGTGGGGCCTTGCGTGTGAACATCCACAGAACATGGCCCCACGGTGCAGTAACTGCGCTTTGCACTACACTTAGCAGCATCTTGAGGAATCGCCCCGCTGGGAGAGGAAGGTGGTTAGGTGACAATGCTAATCCAATGTGATTTTAGGGTCTAACAATGCTCAGCATTTATACAGCACCTAACCTCTAAGGATCTCAAAGAGTTTTGCAAACAGCAAACCACACAATCCTATAATGTGGGCATTATGTCAAACAGCTACACTATGGCACAGGGAAATTGAGCAATTAGCCAAAATTCACACCTCTGGTCATTGGCAGAGCTGAGAATATTATCCAGGCGTCCTGATTCCCAGTCCCCAGCAAGAACCAGTAAACAACGTTCTCTCTTGGACCTGAGAACATATTCTTCTCTTGGTGGATAAATGATGGGGCAAAACTGAGATGCTTATTTCTGCAACAGTAGGAGGTTCTGAGTAGAGCCCAAACTCCCGTTCCATTAACATCACTGCTCCCCCAGCCAATGAAAAGGGAACTTTGTAAGTACGTATTAGATACAAGTGGGAAAGATCATAAGCAGGGGAGAACTGGTCCAGGTTGCTTGGAGAATGTGAAGAGCTGGTATTTCTAGCCACTGGGGAATCTGACCTGGGAAAAAGACCAGTTTAGGACACGAGTTGGGGAGGGGGCATGTCCACTGCAGCTGGTGTAATAGCACAGCACCCTGGCCTGGGACCAGCCAGTTCACCCCGTAAAGTAGGTCAAATTTAGGGCCAGCGGATCCTGAAGGCATAGATTTAAAGAAGGCAGATTTCGACCAGGGGTGGCCAACCTGTGGCTCCGGAGCCACATGCGGCTCTTCAGAAGTTAATATGCGGCTCCTTGTATAGGCACCGACTCCGGGGCTGGAGCTACAGGCGCCAACTTTCCAATGTGCCGGGGGGTGCTCACTGCTCAACCCCTGGCTCTGCCACAGGCCCTGCCCCCACTCCACCCCTTCCTACCCCCTCCCCTGAGCCTGCCGTTCCCTTGCTCCTCCCCACAGAGCCTCCTGCATGCCATGAAACAGCTGATCGGGAGGTGCGGGGAGGGAGGGGGAGGCGCTGATCGGCTGGGAGCTGATGGGGGGGCTGCTGACTTATTACTGTGGCTCTTTGGCAATGTACATTAGTAAATTCTGGCTCCTTCTCAGGCTCAGGTTGGCCACCCAGATTTAGATTCTCACAGGGATTCTCGGTTTGAAGAGGCAATTACAGTTACAGGTTGGCATGTTCCAGGGTGAAACAAAGACCAATGTGCCAAATACGAACTCTGCCAGTCTGACCCCTTTAGAGACCCTTTGACAGGTTTCACAGGTCCCACGCTTTTCTGACTTACGTGTTAATCCATATTTCCTCTTCTTCTTCCACCAAAAAAAGAACGCTGTTCCAGCAAATGCAGATAAAAGTGAGAGAGCAAGGACTATTAGTACTGCTATCGCTGTGGTAGAAAGGCCTCTTTGTACACAAACTGCATCAGAAGTGGCTGTCCCGGCCTTTTGTTCTCTCATCCCTTCCTCTTCACACCTAAGATGAAGGAAGACATGTTATTAAACGTGTCAGCTTATCCACAGCCTTCTCACTGTCTTGGTGACAATCATCCATTGCAGAGCAAACCCTAACTGAGCCGAAGGGCGAGATTCACCATTGCTCTACAGCCCCTTTGCACTGTTTGTGAGACAGATGGGCTGTGCGGTTGGGATGGGACCTCACCTGGGGCAGGCCAGAGATGGATTGGCCCAGGGAGGGGGCAGGGTCAGGGCAGTTCTGCCCCCCATTAGTGGTCTCTAGGGGGTCGTGGCCCCTGGTAGGCCTCAGAACTGACCTAGCCTGCGTCAGGGGCTGAACTGGCTCCCAGCTGCCCATGCCAAGGAAGCAGAAAGGTCTTTAGGACTTGGTGGATAATAGGAGGAGGAGCTGGTTTTCAAGTCTCTATATTTGCAAACCCTGCCCGCTCCTGTGTGACCACGGGGCTCTCTGGCCATGGAACTGGGGCTGTTACACTCATGGATGGCCAGTCCCAGTATGGCCCAGGACCTGGTTCCACACAGTGTCTCCGCCATGTCACTGGGCTCTGTGCAGGGAGGATTTGGCAGAGGGGGCTGCAGTTGGAATCCACCGGCCATCTTATGTCACGTTTATAAACAGCCCCGAGGTGAATCCAGCCCTCACGGAGAGTGTCCAGGGTACGGAAAGGGATTCCTGGGGGAAGGATTTCCCCAACACACAGCTCACAGCCCTACTGATTTAGGGTTACGTTTCCCAGCTACTGAACTTCAGGGCATCTCTAACCAGGTCTGATAGAGCCACAAAATTCAGGTACAAAGAAATAACAATGAATGAAAGGAGAGAATGCAGCGTGTAAAGTCGGTGCAAGGGAAAAGGCCATGTGTAGTCAGAGTCACCTACCTGGTCCATGGCTGACAGGTGTGTGACATGTTGGTTGCTGAGAAGGTTCCTTCAGGGCAAACCTCACATACGTTGTCGCTGAATTCTGTGCCTATAAAAGAGGACGACATAACAGGATTATTTCCTGAACGTGGGGCCTAAAGGAGCTTTGATTTCAGAAAGGTCTCCATCCGCATCTCCCCACTCTCACCACCACCACCACGTTGCAGAGCCATCTTGGTTCGTTCAGGAGTTAGCATATTAAGAATAGATCTGTGCTGGCATTTTATTCCTGCCCTATACTTAAATCCGTCAGTACTCATAGAGCACAGGTACATGGGGGGAAATGCACCTCCTGCTGCCCCACATACCTGGGCTATTACAAGGGCCAACATCCCAAAGGAATAGTAAGACTCAAAATAATGGTGCCAAGTTGTGTAATAGCACAAAAGCTGCAACAGAACACAGCAGTGAGGGGGTTAAATGCCCAAAGGACACTGATAAGGCATGAAGATAAGGCAGCTGGAATATGAAAATATTTAAGACTTATCCTGCCGTCCTATCAATTCATGCTGGGATGTGGTCAGTGCTCACAAGCTAAGCAGGTGCTGGCTGGGAGACATGGGTGAAATCCTGGGGCATTGTCTCAATCCATCATCTTCAGAGGGGCCAGGATCACACCCCAAATGTGTCTGGAAGTGATGCTGCCACCTACTACTTCTACCCTAGGTGCCCAAACACTATGGTGATGGGTCATGTAGATAGATACACTGCTGCAAGGAGAAGCTGAGGTGCTGCTGGCCGTGTACACATTTCCAATGTACACATCTCCTAACCAAATTCCTGTTTGAGGAATTATGTTCCACTTACCTACATTCCACTTGTAATTAACTGAATACTTACTGAATAATTAACTGAATACTCACAGCCTTGCACTTAACCTGGTGCAAGGCTGTGAACTCTTAAATAGCTGCCTGCTTCCACCCCGCGATGGCCACATTTCAGGGCTGGATGAAACGATCCCTGAATATAGCCTGGAGATCATATTATTACCTTTGGAAAGACCTTGGAACTGGAAATATAACAACTATCATAGGACACTGTCATGGATATGAAGTTTTATTCTGAAGCCTCCAATTCCATATGGCCCTGGTAGGGAGAACAGGGGTTGGGGGCACTCGGATTCTGGGACTTGGACTTGCAGACCTATGTGTATATTAGGTCGACTTACAG